CCGGGCACCAATGTTACCAACCCCGGTGCACTATTATGTTAAGGTGGGAATTACAGATGGGGACACGACACACAATAAACATTGTAACAACGGTATTTCATATTAAATAACACAATTGTACATTGAACTGTCAAAAAATTGGGATCACCAATTTCGTGCAATATCTTAAAAAAAAAACAACTTATACAATATAAACTACTTTTTTGTACATTTATAATTCTCATCGGATGTATGTTTTATCCCCATTTTCATCTTCTAGTTATATCTTTATATCTTATCTTTTCATAGTTCATTCTATGAATTCACTGAGAGATCGTTATTTGTCGATCACCTCCTGCAGGTTTCTATTAATTATCCTCCTTACACGCCTTTGTCTGTTTGATTATTCCCGTGAAATACAATTTGCTAATTGCTTAATAAAAGCAGATACTGCCTAAAAAAAAGTGTTACTGCCTTTTTAGACTTTCGGCAGGGCATAAAAACGTCCTGATCTTGTTTGAGCTCGTTGTCGCGGTTTCAAAGGCGTCGCCCGAGGACAATACGCACAATGACGTACGGGCGGGTTTTCCTTAATATGCAAAGGTTTTGATGTATTTTGGAATGAAACGCTTCCTTTAGTATTTACAGACCTCTTAAACGAAATTGCGACACGTGCGAGGGCGCCCCACGTCCACCCGTCGTAGGTGCCGCGTATTGTAAGCGCTCCACAGGTGGGGGGGGCCAACTGTCAAGTGTTCGGACACGATGTAAGTCTATGGAAGTCCGACCAAAGTAGACGGCCGGACGAAACACACTCTCATACTCTCTTACTAATAGACTTGGTGCCTATTTATTATTCTTATTAAACTGCCAAAACGCCCCTATATGAGGCCCAACCAACAAATACTGCTGGAAGCTCTGCCTAGTTATGAGCAGATAGAGCATTAAAAAAATCGACTAATAATGAAGAAAATTAACACATTTGTTGCAATAGTAATTTATGCACTAACTACATTACTACTTGTACTACAACATTTGAATCATCAGTTCTTCTCATTTTCCTCAATTGTTCATATTTGGTTTATTAAAATAATGATATTGTGGTGATTGTTAAAAATGTCTGCTATTATTATGAGTAGTATTATTATTATTTAGTATAATGCGCTTTCTGCCTTCCTGTCATTAGGAGTTAGAAATGTAATGGCTATGTAATAGATTAGATTACAACCTTCATTCTCCTAAACTGCTGGGACATTTCCCTAAAGCCAATACCTTTATATTTTTTACTCTTCACTTACTTGTCAGCATAGGTCGGCATAGATGTACAGAGCCGACAGAAGACCTTGTTTGTATTGGCATCATATTGAGAGGTGCAGTGACGTGTCCTAAAACCAGGAAGTATAAGCTGCTGGTTCCCTCGACAAAAAAAGCAATGGGATCTCTCCAAAGGGTTTTGGAAAATAGCTGGAAATAAGATCTGTGGAAAACAAACCTGTTTGATAAATGCACGTTTTGTTCAGCCGGATAATCTCCACATGTCTACCCTACTTTTATAATTTTCGAATCATAAATCTAATGGATAGATTATAAAAGGGTTTTAGGACGCGTTACAGTGTGGCTCAAACCTTCTCTCCCTCTTCTTCTCATACTCCCTGTCACTCTCCTTTAACTCCTCCGGTGACTTTCTTTTATTTGAAGATAGTTTTTTGCCCGGCGCTTGGCCGGTTAACGCTGGTATTAAAAACATGTTGGCGAATGGTTAGGTGGCGCGATAGTCTGTAGTGAAGAAGGAGCGCGCTCACGGGAGCCTGCTCGCGCTGCGCTCCGCAGCAAACAGCTGTTTGCTTTTCACCCAACAACGACAACCGCCTCACGAAACGCTATGTTGTAGCGTTAATAAACGAAACAATTTAACTAAATTGCTAGTCAAAATACCAATACCACAGGACCATTTTTTTTTTTAAAGCAATATTTTTAGTGGCCCGAGCGGGCAAGTGGAAAGTACGTTATGCTGGCCCGGGGTGTCTAAATAGTGCTTCCGGGCTAGCGGGCCATTTATAATGTCGAGCCCTGCATTCTTCATTTATGTTTTTTTGTGTTCATCCAGAAATTCAAACGAAGAAAAAGAAGGATGAACTACTACAGAAGAGGGTTGAAATGAAGTCGGACCGTAAAGCCCGGGCCATGGCTTCCAGAACCAAAGACAATTTCAGAGGCTACAATGGCGTCCCAGTTGTAGAATTGCCTAAGAAAAGGAGAACAAAACAAGAAATGCAGGAAGAAAGAGCATTGAATGGCGAAGGATTTACGAACAACTCCATTGACCCAGAGGATGAGGATAATTATGAGTATGAGCCTTCAGATTCAGAGTCGGAGCAGGAGCCAGAACCACGGAGACCTGCAAAAACCCCTGGATTTAGTGCTAGTAGCAGGAGCAGTAGTAGCAAGCAATCCTCTAAAAAGCCTGCTCCACCTCCATTGAACTTTGCAGAGTTACTCAAATTGGCAGAGAAGAAGCAGTTTGAGCCAGTTGAGGTAAAAAAGGTAGTGAAAAAAGAAGATAGGCTCCGAACAGCTGAAGAGATAAGGGAGCGGGAGCTGGAGCGCAAGGTTAAGAGAATGGACAGAGACTCAAAGACAGAGAGAGACAGAGACAGCAAGTCTCAATCTAGCTCTAGTAAAATGAGGAAAAACACTTCTGAGAAGGAGCAGAAGAATGGTAAACCCCAAAATAACTCCTCAGTAAAGCCAAGTTTGCCCTGTGGCTCAGCGAAGAAATTGCATCCCACATCTTCTAGTGATAAAGGCCACTCTTCTTCTAGGCCCTCTGTTAATGACAGAGACAGAGATCAATCCAAGATGTCTAACAGTGTCAGAGATCGATCCAAGATGTCTAACAGTGAAAGAGATCGATCCAAGATGTCTAACAGTGATAGAGACCGATCCAAGATGTCTAACAGTGATCGAGACCGATCCAAGGCAGCCTCATCAAGTGCTTCTGGTGCCACAAACAGTAAAGTTCCTTCAAAAGGCTCATCATCTCAGGTTTCAGCCAAACAAGGGGGGCTCAAGCCCTCATCCAGCCACAAATCAAGTGCCTCAAGTGACCTTATCCCCAAAAAAGAAAGCTCATCAAGACCCTCAGGCATTCCTGGGACCAGGGCTCCTGGTCCATCTACATCAGGCCAAAGATCTCAACAGGGGAGCTCCCAACAGAACAGGCCCAATCAGGGTGTGAAGCAAGGACCTTCAGCCGGAGGAAACAAGTCTGGAAAGGGAGAACCTCTGAGGCCTGGAACTAATTCTGCTGGAAAGTCAAGTGGTAATTCAGGGATGAGACCTTCTTCGGGGGGCCCTCCTAAGGCAGGGGCCCAGCCCCAGTCAAGGCCTGGAGGCACATTCCATGCAAAAGCTCTTGGTGTCCCACAGGCCAGGCCTGGTGGGAGTGGCCCAAATGGTCCCCCTAGAGGAGGTGGACCCCGACCGCCAGGGACGGGGCCTGCTCGGACTGGCAGTGGAGGACCAGTATCTGGACGGCCCTCGGGCAGCGTTGGATCTGGCCCTGGAAAATCCACGTGCACTGTGGTGTCCGAGACCATTTCATCCAAGAATTTTGGTGGGCCAAAACCAGGAGTCCCTCCTCAACCAGGCATGCAGCAGAGACCAGGCATGCAGCAGAGACCCGGCATGCAGCAGAGACCCGGCATGCAGCAGGGACCCGGGATGCAGCAGAGACCCGGCATGCAGCAGAGACCCGGCATGCAGCAGAGACCAGGGATGCAACAGGGACCCGGGATGCAACAGAGACCAGGCATGCAACAGAGACCCGGGATGAACAGACCACCAGGTAATAATCTGAGGGAAGATAATGGTGTTCAAGATTCAAGAGATTTCTTTTGTCACGTTTCACACATGCGTAGTACAATGTTGATGCTTCAAACTTCCAAGCAGTGCAACATTTTTGTATAAGAAACAATCAATGCTAATTAAACAAAATGCAAGATTGAAAAAAATGGCAAAATAGTGAAAATATATAAAATTAACCAAAAACTAGACTTGTCACTTAAGGAATACACAACAGTATACAAATGTGCAGAGAAAAAGGTACTATCAAGGGTAAAGATATTAACAGTAGTATTAGGCGCGTTCACACCGCAGTATTTTTCCAACTTTAGTTCCGATATAGTTCCGAAATGTCGCGTTCACACCAAAAAGAGCCGGAACTAAAATTTGTTCATGAGAACCTTTTTACCCCCTTTTCCGTCCCTGCTAGAGAGCAGGTACTTTCGTGGGAGAAAAAGGTTCTTATGTCTGATTGGCTGGGCGGAATGCAAACCACGCCCCGTAAAACTCCCAAAAAGTTTTGTGAAGCCGCCATTTTATTATCCTTGCATCAGCATTATTAGCAAGAGTTCTCATAAACTAAGTTCTGATGAACCTTTGTGGGAAAAGTACTGCGGTGTGAAAGCGCCTATTGCTGAAACTAAAGTTCCTTTTAGGTTACTGCAGGAATCGTAATATGTAATTAAAGACAATGGTGGACTCTGGCAAAAGTGCTTTGTGAAATGTGTTAAAATCACAGCAGTGGTACAGGTTGCAGTGATGCAAACTTGTCACTTTTCGGCGAAATTCGCCGTTTTTAATCCAAAATAGGTTTGTTTGATTCATTAATCTGCAAAAAAATATCCAGGGTATGGAGGGGTCTGAGGACCCGGAATAATCTGCGGCCGTAGAGCTGTGTATGTGCCATAATGACACGCATAGGTGTTTTCTTTTATTATTATATATTAATAAAAATGGAAGTGCGAGCTGTTGCATCGAGTCTTCCTGCCCTGCTCCCGGCTCTGGTCATGGATGTATATAGGCTCTGCTTAGCTCCGATGATGATGTCTATGCTTACAGCAGTCTACAGTACCTACGGTGCGTTCCGTTTAATATTACTGTGCGTCCGGAGTCACTGTGGCACAGATCTGGACGCTGAGTGAACAGAGCGTTAGAACGGGCCCGTTCATGGTGTTCAGAGCAGGGCTCCCATGTCGGAGCGGCAGAGCTGATGTGAACTGATAATGTTTTTCTGTGGCAATATTATTTAAGTGAATCGGTTGAGCTAGCTAGCTAGGCATACATTGTTCACTATACTGTAAGCGTTAGCTTTAGCACTTCTATTTCTAATAGTTTTTTTCATAAGCTATGAAACAGAGGTGGTTAAGTAGTATATATATATATATATATATATTTATTGAGTAAAAGTAGAAGCACTGCAGATCTTGTACTTAGCAATAAAAAGTAGAAGTACTCAGATTAGACTAGGGTAAAAGTAGAAGTACTCACGTGTCTTGTAACTGAGTAAAAGTAGAAGCCACACAGATCTTGGTACTAGAGTAAAATAGAAGTATCTCAGATTCTTGTACTAGAGTAAAAGTAGAAGTACTCAGATTTTACTAAATAAAAAGTAGAAGTACTCAGATCTTGTCACTAGAGTAAAAGTAGAGCAACAAAGTCTTTTGTACTTTGGAGTAAAAGTAGAAGCACTCAGGTCTTTGAGTACTTGAGTAAAAGCAGAAGTACTCAGGATTTGTACTTGCAGTAAATAGTAGAAGTATCCAGGAGTGTAGGATGACTCTGTTACAGTAAAAGTCCCCTGCATTCAAAATGTTCCTCACAGTAAAATAGAAAAAACACCAACTCTTTTATGGTCTCCAAAAATAACTCTGCACTTTTTCAGATGGGAGGGCGAAATGGCAAGGGGAGTTACAGGGGTACTGCTATCCGCCTCATGGGGCACTATCTTCGCAGATACATTTTAACACTTTTAGCCCTTTTTTGATGGCTTGGGTCAAGAAATAACTCTACTTTTTCCAGAGTGTGGAAATGGCAAGGGGAGTGACAGGGACTCTACCCGCCTCTATGGGGCACTATCTTTCGGATACATTTTTAACACTTTTAGCCCTTTTTGATGGTTAGTCCAAGAAATAACTCTGACTCTTTTCAGGGAGGTGTGGAAGGGGAATGCCCAAGCGAGTTGACAGGCGTTGC